AAAAGCACCGCCTCGAAGTGAAGCTGCCAATGCGCTGTCAGTTCACGGAAGACTCCGACGGGGAGGAGATCGACTTTGGCCACGACTTCGACTTAAGCTGGAGCGGAGACGAATGTTTCCAGGACAAATTCATAAAGACCCGAGAGGCACTGGCATTTTTGGTTTTTGGCTGCTGTGGCTCATGTGGATCTAAGGACCTGGAAATATCTACTTGTGGAACATTGTGGCGTGAAATTGGGCAAGGCGGTGAGCGCAAATTTTGCGCAGCATATCCCCGCAGAGTTTTATCTGATTATTGACCAAGATCAAGACGGCCATTCCTTTACGAAAGACCACGAGGGCCTGGATCTAGTTGTATTTTGTGGAACTGACCCTCGCACAAGACCGACATCGGCGTATCTGGAGACACTGACCCAGATTGCATCGCTCGATACAGCTCTCGAGTCCGATAAACCGGGTGTGGACATTGTGATCCCATCGCTAAGTTTGTATCCGTGTCACGTCATGTCTTCCGACGGAGGGCCGAATATCCTGAAAAATGTTCTGAAAAGTGAAAAAATGATCCACGAACTGTGGAAAAGTGACAAACACAAAGAAGTGCCGGCTGGACAATTCCGCTGCACTTTTGTGCTAAATCCTTTGGTTGCAGACTTGGAAGAAATCACAACGTGGCCGGAGATGGCGACCAAAGTGGGCAAACTGATCACTAAAAGCCTGTGCTTTTCAGAAATTGAAATGCGTGTTCACAGAGATCCCACGTACGTGGGCGATGAGAGAACGTCCAGACTCCTATTTGGAGAGCTATTTTGCGAGGCTGTTTAACTCTGCTCGACACTCTCGTGATCTGACATACTCTGCCGAATTGTATGGTGAGTCATGGGACTTGAACCGATTTCAGATTGATTTGTTAACACTGGGTCGCGGCCCCGGAACTGGTTTCAGCGAACTTACATGCGATGGGATCGGCCATGGTAGTCAACCAGACCACAAAAAAAGCTGGCAATGCACTTATTTTTTCCGATCCAACCGTACGACGACTTCAGTTTTGACGACGAGATTACTACTCAATGAGTGGTGGCAATGGATTGCGTATAGCTTTTTCTCAAAGCGAGCTCGAACTCACTCTTCTCTTAACTCACTTGCTCTCGTAAATATCTGAACGATGTGCTTTGAAGACATGGAGGAGGCGTTTACTGCAGTGTTGAATTCTGAGCACCCCGAGGAAGAGTTATTTGGTCTTTCGCGAGGGCTGGTCGATGAACGCGATGCGATCCTGAAGGCCAACCCC